GAACTCAGAGATCTACCTGCATCTGCCTCCCAAGTGCTGGGATTAGAAGTGGGCACCACCATTCAAACCACAACACGCCTCCTACCCCAATGCCCCCAACACACACACACACACACACACACACACACACACACACACACACACAGTGTGCAGCTTTTCTTCTTCAATTCAAGCACTGTCTCTCTTCCGTGAAGGCATCAGTTCCGCGTTCCCTGACATTAAACGAAACGTAATGATTGAAATCGCATTAGAGAGAGCTGGAGAGAGTGGTAACTGTCATTCATTGGTATAGAGCAAATCACTCCGAAAACTCACAGGCTTAAACGGCAATGACTTATTCCTCATTATTCTGTAGTGCCACCTGGAGACACTCTTGTTGCAACTGTAAGGAGTGGGGACATCTTTTGTTGTCTTTCCCATGGCCTTGCTCACAAAACTACCTTAGACTCTGAACTCACGGAAGGTTCAGGGTTCTAATAGGCCCAGGCAGAGGCTGCCAGGCCTCCTAAGGGTTAAGTAGAACAGCATCATTGCAGCGACCCCAAGAGTCACCTCAGACTCATGTGAGAGTGCAACCTGCCTACTAAAGACAGGAGGAAACATGGTGGCTGTGCTTGTTGGGTGTTTGGGTTGGTCTGGTTTTGTTGATAAGAACTGGACTCATCTGAGAGAAAGAGCCTCTGCTGAAGAATCAACGTCTACTGATTGGCCCGTGGGCAAGTCTTGATTAATGATCGATGTGGAAGGGCCCAGCCCTACACTTGTGCCTGTGATTCTGGGACGTAGAAGCAGACAGGCTGAGCAAGCCATGAGGCGCAAACCAATGAGCAGCGTTGGCTTTCTGCAGCTATGACAAAATGCCTGGGGGGAGGGGGTGGGATTCAAAGAAAGAAAGATTTATTTGGCCTCATGGTTTTAGACCATGGTCAGCTGGATCTACTGCTTTCAGGCCCGGGACAAGACCGCAACATCCTGGTAGAAGGGTGTAGCCAAGGAAAGCTGCTCACCTCCTTATAATTAGGAAACACCCAGAGAGGAGGCTTCCAGGAAGACCCGCAAACGACTCACTTCCTCTGTTTTGACTCTGCTTCCCAATAATCCATTCATTTGTGAACCCATCAGTGGGTTAATCCCCGGATGCGGTTGAGCCCCTGACGAGTCCATCACTGCTCAATAGTGCCACCCTCTGGGGAGTAAGTCTTTCTAACTCCGGAGCCTTGGGGACTGGAGGAACTTCGCATTCCACCACAACAGGAGGGGTCAGAGTAGAAGCTGTGCAGTGTGCCCTGAAGGTTCTGAAGAGACCAGTTGACCTGTTGAAGTTTAAGGAGGAAGTGGTTTAGTCTTAGGCCTTCAGAAAGCATTCTCCTCTGGAAATTCCACAGGAAAGACTCTCCTCCCCTGAGAGGAGTTGCGGCAAGGCTACATGGCACAGGTGGTGTTGGAGGCTGTCTCAAAGCCTGGACACCCACACGCCAGCCTGCAGAACCACGGAATGTGACTGTATGTGGAGGTAAGAGGCAGTCAGTTACAATGAGGTTGTTGGGGTGGGCCCTAACCCAGCCTGAGTGGGTTTATGAGAAGAAGGAATGGGGACAGAGAGACAACCACAGGCAGCCTGAGAGCAGCCATCAGCAAAGCAAGGTCAATGACCTAGGAGGGAATCAGGCCAACACACAGAGCCTCCAGAATGCTGAGGAACGGAACCCTGGCTGTGTAAAGGCAACTGGCAGAGACTAATATGGAGTAGAAAGACCTAAGGCAAGGCTCAGTGACCAGAACTCATGGAGACATAGAGGACTGTGCAGAGCCACTAACTCCGAGATGCCCAGAATGGGGTGTGACCCCAGTGTGTGCCCGGGTTCTGGGCCCAGAAGTCAAATGTGCAAGACAGGTTGCAAGCTGGGAGACAGCTCTAAGCATAGTTTGATGATTCATCTACATTTTAATGAAAACAGCAATTAGTGTCCTATGATTAAATCCACAGGCTAGGCCACTCAGGATGCTCACCACCCACAGGCCAGCCGGGGCCTCCCAGGCTGACAGGAAGAGTACCAGGCAGATAGGTCCCATTATGAGCAAATATGTGATGGAGGAATGGGAGAGAAAGGTAAGGAGAATGGTCCGTGGGCTGTGGGAAGAGACAGAAGCAGAAGAAATGAAGATGGTGGGTGTAGCCTGATGCAGGGGCCTACTTGCCACCTGGGGTTCTGGTGAAGGCGGGGCCACGCTGACATCTAGGGCCTGGGCTGCTGCCAAGGGACATGTCTGGGTGCGTGGCCCTACTGTAGCCAGGGTCTGTACTGATGTCTGAGGCTCCTGTTACCATCCAAGGCCTTGCTGACCTATCCCTGCCCGTCGCCTTGTTGGACACTACATCAAGAGAGTTGGCCCCACCCACAGGAGAGAGAGAGCTGACCCTGATGGCGTAGGTGTAGGGGAGCTGTCTCAACCCCCTCACCTGAGGGTATGACCCAGTAGCCCTGACTGACCAGCTCAGCTACCACCCAGGTCCACAGATGGGCCTCGGGCTGGCCCACCCTAACATCTAAGACCTGCCGGAGCTTATGAAGTAACTGGTCTTGTGGAATGATACCGCAGGATCTCCATGGCTTGGGGTGGCTACAGGATATCCCAGAGGAGTTCCAGTGAGGATCCAATGATGACGGTGTGCCAGAAACCAGAGGCCTTGAACCAGACTGGTGAGTCATTGCTAGTAAAGCTGATTGTACAAAAGAGTGGTCTCTGTGACACACCAAGACCTAACGCCAGGTTTTGGGTTTGGGGCGTTTTGTTGTTCTTGTTCTTGGTTTTGTCCACTTGCTTTTTTTTTTTTTTTTTAGTATTTTTGGGGGGTTACTGAAGAGGTAAGAAGAGGATATGGGGGAACTTGGAGGTGAGCTGAATTAGACTGCATAATGTGAAATCCCCAAAAAATCAATAAAGAAATTATGTTTTGTTTTGTTCTTTCCAGACAGGGTTTCTCTGCCTGACACTGGCTTTGTAGACCAGGCTGGCTTCGAACTCACAGAGATCTGCCTGCCTCTGCCTCCCAAGTGCAGCCACCGCCTGGCAAACGATTCTGTTTTTAAAAGATTAGAAGACCAGGGTCTGCCCGTTGAGAACACTTACTGCTCGATCCCAGAATGGTTCCCCATATCAAAATCAGGTGCCTCACTCTGTAACTCCATCCCAGGCCTCCATGGGGACTGCATGCAGGTGGAGCACTTAACAATGTGCCTGGAAACATTCATACACATAAGACAAAAATAAACATGTGCTTATGTGAATATATGTGTAATATATGTGTATATGCATTACATATGTTATTTATAGATTATATATGTGTAATATATGTGTATGTGCATTACATATGTTATTTATAGATTATATATGTGTATATATTACATGTATATTATTTACATATTATATATAAAAATCCAAAGGCTCTACTCTAAAGCAAAACTGGAGAGTTTAGATTTTGGCTTCTGTAGGAAAATTAGAAGACCCAGTCCCCGTGAGCCTCCTCCAAAGTCAGGGGTTAGGACTGAATTTTCCATTTTATAAGCACACTGTAAACATGTTTCCAAGACAGCATGCTGTGAATTGTGGGGCCCAGGGCAACTTGGTACACACCTGCTGCTTGACTGTCCTGCTGCCCTGCCAAGCTCCAGTGGAGACCAACCAGAAAGTAGGCCCAAAGTCTCAGTTTACCCTGAGGTAACACCTGACTCCAGGAGAGACCGAAAGCTGGGGCCACCCAGGCACCACCCAGGGATGGACCATCCAAAGGGAAAGTACCTAATGTTCCAAAGGAAATTCCTAACATTGTAGATAGGACCGCATTATGCCCCTTAGCCCCAACACACATCCATCCCCTTTCGCCAAAACACCTCTAGACAAATGGCAGTCAATTAGGGTCTTGAATCCTAAAAATCCCTTCACCCCCAACCTCTACAATAACAAAAATCCTACCCCTCCTGGGCTGGGCACTCTCTGCTCTCAATCACTGCATCAGACAGAGTGGGCCAGAGCCCAAGCTTGAGCCTGAATAAAGGCTCTGTGCTTTTACAAATGGGAACCCAACATTCAGTCTCCTTGACGGTTTGGGGGGACCCCAAGATCTGGGCATAACATGAATAGCAGGTGGAAAAAGGCAAGCTTGTCCCACCAAATGCATTGCTTTGAAATTTGGGGATTGAAAGGCTTTATGGTGGTTTATATCTTGCCATGACAATACAAAAGAGTGTGATTCACCCGCTGGACTTTGTTGTTTGTGATTTATGGAGGAAGAAGTTACATAATTCCAGCAGTCATGGAAGCTTCCAACATCCCAGGGAGATCTTTTAAAGGGTGTTCTGATCCTAAGCTGAGTTTTTATAGTTGTTTGTATTTCCAGAAGACATTAGAAATAGCTTTAAGTATATGTGAGTGCTCAACTTCTGCTCAATGACACTCAGACACACACCAGCAGCCCCTCCTTCAGTGCAAAGGGGACTCTTATTGTAATTCTCACTTTAAACAAGAGGGCCTCAGTCACCCTTGCTGCGAGAGCAGGGTTGGATTTCTAGGCTCTTGAGAAACAGCACTCCTAGGTGTTCAAGTGCCTCGCACAGGGTGCCCGAGACAGAATCAACAACAAAACTTACTGTTCAGATCTGCCTTGCCTTCCTTTCTTCCAAGGCACTGTGCATATTTTATGGAGAAGTCTCCCAGTCCTGATGTTATATTAAATGGTTGAGGAAGCTGCAGTCCCTTTCCTAGGCCTGATGAGGGGCCAGCTGTCCACACCTAAACTTCACTAGGACATCATAGCAGCCTGGCCAGACTTCATAGAATACCCCTGGGTCTTTAAGTCCCCTTACCCCAAGTCCTTAGCTGGCAGTGCTAAGGAATTATGCCACTGCACTGTAAACACACACACACACACACACACACACACACACACACACACACAGCACACACACTGCTCTTCAGCTGTTCCTGGGGAAACCACTTACCAGGCCTCTGTGGATCAATACTCCTGATGCACTTTCCCCTGATTTCCTGTGGTCGTTCTCTCTGGAACCTGATGTTTTCCTCTGTCCAACTAGTCCACGACCCATCAAGGATGTGAGAATAACTGTCATCTGTCTGCCACCTTCTGGAGGTCCTGCCTCATTCCACTGCAGACAGGAATCCACCATAGATTCCGAGGGGAGCATTCACAGAGGCCTCACTGTGCTGGGGTAGGGGCTACCTCCCCAAACTGTCACCTCTATGCCCCAGGGCATTTACAGATCAGGAACCTAGAGCGCGCATTCACCTCTGATTCACACAGTGGCAAAAGCAAAGCCGACTGTTGAACCCAGGCAACCTCCGGCCCGCAGGCCTAAAGGCATGCATGTGTTAACAAGAATCGCCTGTGTGTCTAGTTATGCAAGTCCCACCTTGCTCCAGAAAGGATTTGCAACGGTTCACAAAAACATGTAACGATCAAATGTAAGATCAACAGGATTGTGAGTCGGGACAACAGGACCCGAGGACAAGAAAGACTAAGGAGCTCAGTGGAGGCCTGTGGTGAAGAAAGAGGCAGTGTGAGGCTCCCCTCTGCCTCTTCAGGGAAAGCGCGCCATCAGCCGCCATCAGCCGTATAGACTCCCCTTTAGTTTATACGCGACAGTGTTTATTCCATGCCCGACTGTGGAGAAAGGCGTGTTTTCTCCTTTGCTGTTCTCTTCTCTGGAGTCCTTTTTCACCGCGGCATGGGAAGAGGAGGAACTCGGTGGATGGGGGAGGGACAGGATCTGCCCTGCCGGCAGCAAGGGCAGCAAGGGCAGCGTTTCTCTGCGGGATGGGGCCCTGCTTCGTGGGGCAGGGTGGCCACTCTCCTCGGGCTCACTAGGAGCAGACTGACTGAGAGGCTGCTCCCTGCAGGGGACAAGGAATGGATGTAGAAAATGCCAAGGCCCTTCAGTTGCCGATGGTGGGGGTGGAGGTGTTTAACAGCAATTGGCAGAGCGCTTCCTAGCATCAGAAAGGACTACTGCGAGCCAGCTTCTTTGGCTCCGGATCCTGCTTTTACAGTAAAAATAAAGTGTATGCTTTTTACCCCAACTGACTTACAGACTTATTTCCTAAATACAGGTTCAACCGAGAAGGGAATGAGTATGAGGTTTTGGACTTTGTAATCGCGACTAATAATTCATTTCCTCACAGTTTTTCTAGCGTATAAACAGGAGGTCCAAGACCACATCTGTCATTAACCGTGTGCGAGAACGGACCACAAGATATACAACAAAACCCACTTTAAGAGTTTTATTAGTAAAGAGTAGGGCAAAGGGGTGTGCCCAAGCCTGACTGGGAGAAACGTGGCGAGAAAGAGAGTGGGTCGGGCGTGTCTGCTTTTAAAGGTCACTTAGCGCATGCGTATGGGGGTTTACATAGCCACGCCACTTACATGCACGGATTACGTGGCCACGCTAAGCATACACAAGGCCCTGGGATGACTAGGCATTTGGCCTGAATACTGATGGCGCATGCACAGCCAACCCCAGAAATGCTGACACCTGGGATGACTGAGCGTTTAGCCTGAATGCTGATGGCCTTGTGCTTGGCCGTGGGACCCCGGAAATGACAACATTGTCGGGACAAAAACTGTTTTCAAATAACCAAGACTTGAGGCACACATGGCAGCATGAGTGGGTGTCTGAAAATGTAGACGCCAGGACAAGATCAGAAGTACAGTTTATTGTCAGCCGTACAAAGGGACAGTGGAGGGAGCCTGCAGACCACGATGCTGGCCTGGCCCTATGAAGAAGATAAGGAACAACAGAAGATGTCAGCCTACAGTGCAGGCCCAGGAACAGGGCCAAAGCTGACAGGCTGTCCTTGGTGCACGCTGACCACTAGGGTTCTCTGTCACGAGGAGGGGGCCTGCGGCAGCTCTTCAGCTGTGCTCAGGAGTAGCGTGTGGGAAGCTTGGCCTCTGCGTGAGCATGCTATGAGTCCTTGCAGCTGCAGACCCCACAGTGCCCCTGTGTGGCACCACAGTGGCTGAACCTGGGCCAAGTTTGACACGCCCGGTTATACCGGGTCTTCACTGGGTATGCGTCTGGTGGCGTCAAGGCTGGGGTCACCCACTTTCCACATGCTTCCATGGCCTGGGAATCACTCTAGCCATTATGTCTCATGGCCACAGGAAGAAAAGTAGAGTGGTCACATGTCCATCAGGACAACAGACACTTTCAGAAGCCTCTCATTTCTCACTCCCAGAACGGTGGTCCTGCTGGTCCCGCTGGAAAGGAGAGAGAAAGGAGCCCCGGAAGGGCTTCGGGTCAGGAGGCATGACGCCCGCCACCTGCTCTACCTGAGGCATTGCCACTGAGCCGTGAACTCTGAGCCGTGAAGGCCTGACAGTGGCGATGCCTGTCCATGTAGATGCTGTGTTGAGCAGCTAAACCAGAACCCATCAAGCTCCAGCAGGACCTTCCATGAGCAGCTGGCAGCTAAGCCTTGATGTGCAGCAGGGAGGTCTCCTAGAAAGCATCCCACAGATCATCCTGGTACAGGGTATCATACAAGTTAGAGAAGGTATTTATATTTTCCATGAAGGGCTAACACTATGGACTTGGAAAGAGACCCGTGTTGTTTGTCCACTATACCAGATACATTTATTTAAGTTTAAAAGTATTTTATTCATGTGTGTGTGCGCGTGCACCATGGGTATACAGGTATATGCCATGTGTGTGCAGATGCCAAAAGAAGCCAGATTCCTTGGTTCTGCAGTTATAGGTGATCTCAGGTGGTTGTGAGCTGCTGGGAACCAGCTGAGGTCCTCTGAAGTACAGTAACCACTCTTAACTGTAGAGCTGTCCCTCCAGCCCCACATTTATATTTCTTTAAAGAACTTTTGGAAAGGAGTTTACTCTGGCCTAATGTGAATGGCTCTGACCCAGGAACGTGGATTTACACTCCCTGAGTGACATGTCCCTAGTGACATGTCTAATCTCCACCAGGACCTTGTATATAAACTGGGTGCTAGCCTGGGCACCCAGGTTTGTCTATCGGTGCCTGTTCCACTCTTCTGTCCTAAGGCAGCCATGGGTGTGGGATATGGCTGGTGGGTGTCTTGGGTGGTCCTGATTAGGCTGAACCGATGAAGGTGATCTCATTCTCTTGGCAGTCACTTGGTGCAAAAACGGGCTATGAGTTAGCTCAGTGGGATTCAGGGGAATGTTGCTGGGGCTTCTGGGAAATTCTTGTCTTTGGCTAGAAAGAAAGCCTCTGGGGCAGTTTATTTCTATCTTCAGCAGATGTGAACAAGAAAACGAGGACTCCTGATTGTTCCTACCACCATCCTGGGACCCTGAAGGGTGTCTCTGTAGGGAAGCCGACCCTCTGGGCAGTGGCCTTAGAATCAGGACCCAGAGACCTAGAGGACATTACTGCTAGATGAACTGCCTTGAAGCCCCTAAAAATGCAGATACTTAGGTGTGTCAGTCCATTGTTGATTACAGGCACTTAAAATTTTTATTTATGTATGTGAATGTTTTGCCTGCATGTATATATGCACATGTGTGTGCCTGGTGCCCACTGCAGGGCCAGAAGAGGGCTTTGGATGCGCTGAATGAGGAACTGGAAATGGCTGTGACGTGCTTTGTGTGTGCTGGGAACCTAACAGAACCTCGGTCCTCTGCAAGCGCAGTAAGTGCTCCTAAGCACGGAGTCATCTCTTCAGCCCCTACAGGCAGCTTTAGCTGGTATTTCTGTCACCCTGAAAGCATCCTACCTGCCCGGGTGGGCTGCCCATTCTAGACAGCAGGAGGGATGAGGAAATGTGCTGGCCCTGGGCCAGAGGGTTGAGTGTTGCCTCCACACCCTGGGAGAGCTGCTCTGTGCGTTTCAGGACTGTAAGAACAGCTCAGATGTTACAGTCACTAAGAAGCCGGCATTGGGCTTGTACCACTTCCTCTGCGAGTTCAGGGCCGGGCTCTTTCCTGGGTAGCAGTGACCTCTGTAACCTCCAGAGACTTCACAATCAAGATAAATGTCCAAGCAGACAGACTTATCACCGGGCGCCGGGCAATACCAGTGCTTCTTGCTCATTTTTTAAAGCAGGTAGTAGTGATGATAGAGGATAAGACAAATACATAGCAGATACATAGCTTTCAGTTTTATCTCATCACAGTTGAAAAATGCCCCATACCTGGCAGAAAGATTATGGGTTAGGAGGCATTGAGTCACCAGTGGGTTTTATACTGTGATAAAACGGCTAGATCACAGCAGTATTATGAGCAAAAGTCAAAGACCTTTTCCTAGAACAATTCACAAACTCAGAAGTGAGGGCAGTGGGGCTGGCCTCCCACCTATGGCAAATACAGTTCCTTCCAGGTCACCACAGCCAGTTACTCAGCTCGCCCTTCGGCTGCTGGGGCAGGCTGGGTTCTTTTCTCTCAAGCTTCCTCACTTGACTTCTCATATTCTGCTAGAACAGTCATTGCTCTTCAGAGAGGAGACACAGTGAACACCAGCCTGTCAAACATAAACACTGACAACTCGTCTGCTAATCTGTTCTGTGCACAAAAGATGTTCTGAGAGGCCACCATTAAAAGACACTCTGGGGCCTGGGGTGATGGCTCAGAGGGTAAGAGCATACCAGCTTGAAGACCTGAGTTCAAATTCTCAGCACCCAGATAACTGGGCATAGCTATGCAAACCTGTAACAGCCCAAACCCTCATGGAATGCAGACAGGTCACCAGCATACCTCCAGGTTCAACAAGGGACACGGTATCTGAGCAAACCCTCTTCACAGACACAAGATATTCCTGCCAAATTTCGCCAAGGCTGAAGGGAAGTCTAATTAACGAGGTTTTATATTTCTTTGGATTGTCTCAGAAAGAAAGCAACTGATTGTGTACAGCTAATGGCCTCCTTTTTTTTCCGGTGTGTGGAAAAGAAACACCAGCATCCATATGAATATCATGAGAGAGGGAAGACAGTTCTGTGTCGCCATGCACTGGCGGCTCACTCCTAACACCTAATTTAGTCACCACAGCAACTCTGAGGGAATATTTGTGGTCTTATCTTACTACAGAACACAGACTCGGAGAACTTCCCAAGAGTACACAGTTGGTGGGCAGTAGTTTAGAAATTACCATCTAGATAACTATCTTCCAAACGCCTGGCTGTTTATAGCACAGGAAAGAAAGCGGGGAAAAAGGTGTAAGAAAAGAAGCTCCTTCCAGCACCCCTCCTCTCTGTGTTATCAGCTGAGGCCCCTCAGCAAGGCAAAGGCCACCCCGTCTCGCAAACGGCCCAGCTGTGGGCCGCGGACCTGGTGGCTCTCTGGAGTTGTGAGTCTGAGGCCTAGCTTGGGCCCTCCGGGTCCGTTACCAAGCCAAGCCTTGGCCCCCAGTGTAACTCAGGGAACATGCATGGAGCGGATGAGAACCCAAAAAAATACGGGAGTCTGGTGGTTCTGCTCTCTTCAGCCTTGACCTGCTCCCCAAGATGGAGTGGCACAGCCATGACAGGCCTGTAGCACATCTGAAGAGATGTTAAGGTTGGTCCCTCATTTACCTCAAAAAGGCACACTGGCCTGTCACCGCTCTAGAGGCAGCGGGACATGGGAGAACAGAGCTGAGAAACAGGGTGGACTAAAGTCTCACGGAATAGTCAACTCCATTCAGAACCCCCAGATAATTTATACTCTGAAGGTTAGCAAAGGTCACATAAGTAAACTTGTCATGAGTTCAAGCATGTTTTCCACAGAGGCATATGATGCATAGTTTAAACATTTAATTGAATAACAACGTCGAGGTAAGCTCCCTCCTATCTGCTACGCCTGGGAGGAACACAAAAACACATTGCAAGAATTCTGTGTTTTCAAGACCCAGCAACTCCACTCTTAGGCATATACCCAAAAGATACCCATTCATACAACAAAGATGTCTGTTCCACTATGTTCATAGCAGCTTTATTTGTAATTGCCAGAACTTGGAAGCAACCT